GTGCACCAAGCTCCACGTGGGCAGGCGAAGAGGAGAAGCCGCTGATCACCTGGAGCACGGGGCAGCCTCTTTCAGCTGAAAGCCACAGTCAGCTGGCTGGGGTGTTTCAGCCCTCCTGACCTCTCAGCTCCCACCATTCCTCGCAGCTACTCACCTGTGTTGTTGCTCAGTGAGTAGCTGCTCCTCAAATGAGTAAATCTAATGTAAATGTACTGCACAGGCATGCAGTTCAGAGAGGGCTCAAGAGCTACTCTTAGAGCCCCTGAGATCTAACGGTAGATCACGATCTACTGGTTGGTGACCACAGCTGTAAAGGTTGGGGACCACTGTTTTAGAAGGATAAGATGGGAGTACAAAGTAAAGGCGTAAGAAAAATAAACACAAATCAATTTTGAAACAGACTGGTGATTTTTGGGAACAAAGAAAAAGATGAGAAGGTGGCTACCATTTTATTATAGCATGAATATTTTCTGCTAGTTCAGTAATAACTATATCCCTGTGTAACAAACTCAAAGGTTTAAGGATCATAATTACCTCATAATCATGAAATGCCCTGCATTTATTTTAAGTGAAACATGAAATGCAATCTTTATTTGGCAATATAAAGCTAAAGGAACAGCTCTATTGGTATTTTGTTAAATATTTGGAAGTGTAATCTACAGAGGAGTAGTTCTCAGGAATGTCTGAGTGGATAGCACTGCAGAGCTATTTATTTTTTAAATTTGTATTATTGTTGCATTTAAGAATCCTAGTCTTGGACTAAAGCCCCATTATGTTAGGAATCATGGAACTATCCATAGATTATGAGCAGAATGAAAACAATTTAATATCCCAGTATTTGTGGCAGACCAAAGGCAGTAGGCTGCAGGAGTTAGGTGGAGATCTGGAATACTGGCAGTTGGGTGAGTGGGTTTCTGTGTGGGCTGCCAGGGACTGCTGCTCTGCAATTAACACAGGCTAATAGGGACCTGATGGCAGTTAGGGCCTGCTGGTCCGCTATAAAAGGCTTCCTCTCAAGTAAGGTGGGGGAAGAAGAGGAGGGACGGACTGGAGAGGAGGAAGTGCAGAATGGAGAGAAACTGCAGATTGCAAGCAGGAGAGATTTTCTCCTAGGTGTCAGAGAGAAGGTATTGGGGGAGCAGTTAGAGAAATGGCCCAGGGTGAGGCTGCTACTTTGTGAGGATGAGGACAAGAGCCCCATTAGGAGTAGCTTCCTAGGGCTCTGGGCCGGAACCTGGAGTAAGTGGGTGGGACCAGGTTCCTCCCAACCCTTGCCATGCCCAGGGTTTCCCTTTCAAACTAGCGATTTGCTTATGATGAAAATGGCTCATTAATCAGGGAACCCTTGCTTCTGAGCAAAACATGTGGGAGGGTCACCGCGAGCCTCTGAGGTATACCAAAAATCCTCCAAGAAGCACAGGACCTGGCGGTATGGCCAGAGCTCTGCCACATATTGTATAAAGCCCTTCATAGGTTAGTCCCTCAGTACTGAAGAATTCACCTCTGACCCTGTGCCTTTGTCCCACAGTTGAAGTCAGACAGGCACGCTTACTCTCCAACTGAGTCAGGAACAAGAGTGTCTCAGTAGAGGCTCCTTGGGTGTGGAGGTCTCTTAGAAAGAAGTCTGCCTGAGTCTGGCTTTGATGCAGTTCAGGTTCTGTTTATTTTTGGAAGGCCTATCCCTTTAGAACTGTCAACCCTCTCTTCTGTTTTCTTATATATTATTGCTTCATTTTCCTAGGAATTATGTTATTTGGGAACTAAATGCTCTCATTTGTTCGTGACTTGCTTGAATGATGGTGCATTTTGCCCTGTTCCAGGTCCATTGATTAACCTATATATACAGTCTGTTAGTGTTTTATTTTTGTTTTAGATTGGTTCTTCATTAAGTGGCATCCCTTTCGGTGCTCCATTTCAGGTGGTGCTGTATTCCAGTGCCATTTATTAGCAGTGTCTGGCTGCGGCCTGTGTACGCTGTCTTGTGGTAGCACTGATACACTCTTCTATAGTGCGCAGGCCCTGACCCCTTCAGTTTCTTCTCAAATATCGTCAGCTTGAAACAGAGACCATTGGCAGTGTCCCTATCTATAACCAATAAAATAGATTTTAGGATAGTCATTACAGTGAGTTAGCTTGGATAAAGTAGACATGGTTTAGTAGTCTAGTTAAAAGGAAAAAAATAAATTTCTTTCTCTCTGTCCCCACAACCCTTCACAAAGAATAAAAACAAAAATGCCTGTATCACAGGTTTTAAAAAGTATGCATCTTGCAAGGATGCCATCCCTGTCTCAAATGGCCATTCACTCTGTATCCGCTGCTTGGAGTCACACATCCCTCAGAAACGCGCTCATTGTAATAACCTAAAGGCAGATAGGGATCTCGGTCTAAAATTAATTCTAATGGAGAAAATTTTGATTTCCACAATGGAATCAACAAAGAGCTACCCAGAGGCCGTATCACTAGACAAAGCAAGTGCCTTGTCTTCAGAGACTTCAAGGAAGAGAGCATCATCAACTCCAAGCCAAGAACCCTTTAGAAAGAAACTGTTTCCAGCGAGACCTGTGCCTTTGGTACCGAACTCCACTAGAGTGAGCAATTTTGATAAACCACCTGCAAAAGGATTTCTGCTGCTAAAGTTAAGGAGTCAAGTAGCGGGTAATCTTCAGCCTTCTCTTCCAGCTCCATGGCAACATCTACCCCTTTAAAGGGAACAGGACCACAATCGGAGCTGCAAACTATGGCATCTCCTCTGGCACTGATGTTAATGGTACAGAGTATAGAATAATAATCTGTTCAAGACTCCACAAGCTCAGAGACCACAGAAGCAGTCGCACCGCATGCATGCTGCAGCACTGATGCTTGCAGAACAAACTGAGTCATATGGACTCAGCACTGAGCTCTCCTGTACTTGGCACTGCGAATTCACCATTATCAATGGTACCAGAGCAACCCTGTTCTCCCATTGCACCACCATTTTCAAGCAAGGAAGAAGTGAAAAAGATAATGCTCTATTTTCTGGCCACTCTTCCCCAGCAACAATCAAATATAGAAGAAACCCAGACCCAGATGACCTACAAGAAGTGATATAATGCATATTAGATATTCGCGATGTCCTGGCCTTTTACCTAGGTAGGGCTAAGACTTTTCGTAAGTCCCCCAGACTTCATATCAGCAACAGAAAGATCAAAAGCTGCAACTATATCAACTCAAGTGTCAAAGTGGATTTCAAACTTGTGCTACTCCTTATGCAACACTGAAATACCAACAGGCATAAGAGCAGAGTCAACAAGGGACTGTAGCAACTTCTACAGCATACCTGCAGAGCAGCTACATGGGTATCTACATGTACTTTTACCAACCACAGTAACACTTAGCTTGAGTGCAGATGCTAATTTAGTCTTTAGCAGCAGCTATACAATTTACTCGGAAACTTCTTTATGCATGAGGGCAGTGCTCTACATTTACCTGAAGTGGAACACCCCTTGATGATGAAGGGAAGGTTGCTCACCTTGTGCAGTATTTGAGGTTCTTTGAGATGTTTGTCTCTATGGGTGCTTCATTACTTGCCCTCCTTCCCTCTGTTTCTGAGCAAAACTCAACTGCTCCTCAGTAGAGAAGGAACTGAGGGAGTCGAGACATGCATGTGATAGAAGAGACATTAGTGGTGCCATGAGACAGTTACTGCTCATGCATGCCCCAACTAGACACTGCTAGTAAGATCTCCATTTGGCAGCACCAGGACCACCACCACCTGAAGTGGAGCACCCATAGGATATATATCTGGAAAAACCTCCATTATTATGCAAGATGAGAGAGCTTCATTTTTACTGTACAGCTCTTCATGCTTTTCAATAGATGCCTTTAAAATAGGTTTGCATTGAATTAATTATACTGGAGAACAGGAATCAGTGCCCCACAGTAGGTGCATGTGCACCCTTGTGCCTCTAATCAGAGATTTTTTTGGTAGTAGTGCTCATTGAGGTAGGATTTAAGTGATCCAAAGAGTTAACAGAACAATGTATGTTACCAAATACAATAAAACAGAAGATGCAAGCTAAGCTTACTACACTAAGAAATTGGTTACATGTAATATTTCACTCTTAAGTTGTTCTGACAAGCTTCCTTCACAGACTGGAAAGCCTCACAAACAGGACTCAGCCCATCTCCCTATTCAGTCTTAGATGTTTCTAGCAGTCATCTTGTGTGGTATAGCCAGGGAGAACTAACAGTCAAGTAGTGTTATTCCTGGCTCCATTTTAGAAGCTTCAAATATAGCTAGCTAGTAGATAACTGACACTCTTGAACTTTCATCCTTCTCAATCTGTTGTATGAGTGCTTTGTTTCTGTTTCTTTGTAATGCCCACAGGACTTCTTGAGAAGATCCAGGGGGAGAGGAAAAGGGGAAAGAAGGAAAGAGGACTCTACTAACCAGGATTTTACATCCCTAATCAGTTAACCAGCTAAACCTTAGGTTTAACTGATTATGCGGGATCGTGAGGGGAGGGGAGCGGCAGCCGGGGGGGGGGGGGGGGGGGGGCTGGCTCCTGATCCCTGCAGAGCTGGAGCAGCCTTTCACCCATTGCAGGCTGCAGGTACAGGGCCACTGCAGGCGGGGAGCCGCTCCTGGGTACCAGTACTTGGTAAGCATCACCATCAATAGAGTTTCTTGATGGCTGTGATTCTGCAAAAATTGATAGCTTAGACATCATATTCAACACAAAAAGCTTCTTTTTTACTACTGGCAAGTGGATTTTTCAAGTCCTAATCCATGTTCCTTCAGATGTGCACCGAGGCATGTGCTGATCTGCATCACCTGTAGAAACACATGCTGCTGGCTGTAGGCGCTCTGCTAATCTGTTGGACGGCACCTAAATCTCAGGGAACAGTGGTCCCAATTATTTTATTGCATTCACATTTGCTTTTCAACATCTTAGCAAAATATTGTTTGCTTTCAAAATGCTGACCAAGAGACACACTGATAGTCTGCAGAATCCAGGAAAATTATATATAAATATTACATTTTAACATATGAGAAAATTGCGTTCCTATGTTGCCCGTACAGCCTATCATCATATTTTTCAAATGTATGCTTGCTAATTAAGAGAGAGCACCATCCACTTGTCTTCTGGATCTAGTGGGTGGCTAATTGTAGTTAAACTATAGTAGTTCCTATAATATAAGGACTGGAGGACTCTAAATGAAATTAATGGGTTGCAGGTTTAAAACTAATAAGCGAAAGTTCTTCACACAGCTCTTAGTCAACCTGTGGAACTCCTTTGCCAGAGGAGGCTGTGAAGGCTAGAACTATAACAGTTTAAAGAGAAGCTAGATAAGTTCATGGAGCCTAGGCCTATAAAAGGCTATTAGCCAGGGGGTAGGAATGGTGTCCCTGGCCTCTGTTTGTCAGAGGCTGGAGATGGATGGCACGAGACAAATCACTTGATCATTGTCTTCGGTCCACCTTCTCCGGGGCACTTGGTGCTGGCCACTGTCAGCAGACAGGCTACTGGGCTGGATGGACCTTTGGTCTGACCCAGTACGGCCATTCTTATGTTCTAACTATTATGCCCTTAAAATTTATCTTTGGGCAAATCTATGTAAATCTTAAATTCCTGGTCATTTGACTATTTGTAGTGTGTTTTAGGTAACTTAATTAGGTATACTAAAGTTATGCATAGCTCAGAAAGGAGTACCTAACTTTATTCTAATATAGCTAAATAAAATATTGCAATTGAAAATAAACTTACTAACAAAAAAAAATCTTTAATGGTAGCTTTATTCTACTCATTACTGCAGTTGGTTTTGAAATTTCAAATCCTGCAGCAGGTTGCCTTCATCACAATAAATACACCCTGGGTGGTACATTTGTATGTATGTACCATGCAAAAGCTCATGATACCATCTATATGTTTTGTTAGTCTATAAAGTACTACCAGACCATTTGCAAGAATTGTGATAGTATTGTACTCCAGTGGTAATCAAAACTTTATTATATAAGTGTCAAAGAATGAAATTTGTGTTCTCTTTAATTTTAGGATCTGCTTTTGCTAAAGCAAAACCTGAAAGCCCTTGGACCTCTTTGACCCGAAAAGGAATTGTTCGAGTAGTTTTCTTTCCATTCTTCTTCAGATGGTGGTTACAAGTGACATCAAAGGTCATCTTTTTCTGGCTGCTTGTTCTTTATCTTCTCCAAGGTATAATTGAGTAACAAGATAAAATAAAAACAAACATTTGTTTTTAACCATTTAGAAAATACTACAAGGAGTCCTGTGGCACCTTATAGACTAACAGATGTATTGGAGCATAAGCTTTTGGGGGGCAAAGACCCCCTTCGTCAGATGCATGTCACGAAGTGGGTCTTTGCCCACAAAAGCTTACGCTCCTATACATCTGTTAGTCTATAAAGTGCCACAGGACTCCCTGATGCTTTTGCAGGTCCAGACTAACACGGCTACCCCTCTGATATTAGAAAATACTGTATCTTATCAAGTTCACTCTGGACTGACAAGATCTAGCATTTTCAAAATGCTTTAGGGTCCTAATAATGCCCCATTAACTTACACAGCTTTACTCCATATAATGACTGCTTTCTAAGGATGGCCTCCTAAGTCCTGGGAAAAGGGGCAGAGAAAGAACATAGACATCAGTGCACAGCACTGTGGCAATTAGGCACTGGGGAGAAGGGGCATGAACAATCCAAGATTGGGAGGACATAATGGGGTGGATTATAGCCATTTTAGTGCCCCTTCCACTTGAACAGTGCTGTTCTTCCATCCTCTCTGAGAGGTACGAATATTAAGAGGTTTTTCTGAATGTCCAGGAAATACCATGACTGTGAGCCCATACGAAAATAACCTTTTAACCCCCTTTCAAGTAACACTTGTGATCAGCTATTTTCTCCACCATTTTTCCATGCTGCCCAAGTTTCTAGCTCCATTTCCCGCTACTACTTCCTGTTGCTCAACTTTGTATTTACTGTGTTCCTCAGTGTATTTAAAATTCATAATTGTTATTGCAACTACATTGGATCTATAATTAGGTGTGAATTTTGGGTACATTTTAAATCACTGGAGAAATGTTACTCTGGGTAGATGCAATCTGTGGATAGTTGGGTTTATTTTGTAATTATCAACATAAAATCACATTAAAAGTATGTTAATGTAGTGTAAAACCATGAAAATGTGTCCCCACAAACACATACAAAAAGACCTTCCTTTTTAAAAATTTTGAATAACTATATATGTACTTCTCACATCCCAAGCCAAGCTCACTAGTGATCGAGGCAGTCAGAGGGGCAAGCAGCAGGCCATGTGCACAGTCCCCTACGACAAGGACTGGAAACGCCTAGACCTTACAGGCAAGAAGACACATTATGTCACTCTCCTCGCAAAATTTACGCACCACATATTTGACCAGCTTTTCAAATTTTGAGTGCCTTCCTGACAATAAAAAACAATTAAAAGCAGACATCAATGAAGGAGCATTGATTTCCAGAACGGTTCTCCAGGCTGCTTTAGATTTAGTGGACACAGCCTCAAGATCACTACCTTCAGCAATCATCATGAGACATGCCTCATGGTTCCAGCTTTCAGGGTTTGAGGGAAATCCAAGCCGCAGTAGAGGATCTCCCATTCCAGGGCACGAAGCTATTTGCAGAATCTCTCACTCGATATGTTGAAAGATTCATGAGCCACACTAAAAACCCTAGGCATCCACATACCTGCAAATAAAAGAAAACGGAAGGTCATGTACACAGAGATAGAAGACGGCTCTGTTTAACCAACAGCCAAGATGCTATATGTGTTGCCCAAGGCAGAACAGGTGCTGACAGACCTCCAAACAAGTGACTTTGCAACAACCATCAATATCACGACAGGCATTTTGAAGACAGCACCAAGATTTCCAAGGCAGCAATCCAAACGCTATGCAGCATTTGGCAGCAGTCTAGCTGCATTTTATCCAGCATTGCGGACCATCACCACTGAAAGTGGGAGCTAGAAATCATCAAAACGGATTACTGCATCCCATTGCTTACCATGCCACATCCCTCACCCCCCCCCCCTTTTCAGAGACCCCTTCCACAAGAATGTGCTTGTACAAGAGGCACAACATGTCTTACAATTAGGGGCCATAGAAGAGGTTCCACCAAAACACAGGGGGATGGGATTTTATTCCCACTACTCCTTACCACCAAGAAGACAGGGTGTTGGAGACAAATTTTAGATCTTTGAAAGTTCAGTTGTTTTGTCCGCTATCAATGCTTCAGGATGGTAACCCTAGCCGCCATTATTCCTGCCTTGGAAAAGGGAACTTGGCTGTCTACCCTCGACCTTCAGGATGCATATTTTCATATCTCAGTATCGTCCATCCCACAAATGCTTCCTACGGTTCGCGATAAGGGACCTACATTTCCAATAGAAAGTGTTGTCTTACGGGATCTCAACAGCCCTCAGGGTCTTCTCGACAGTAATGGCGGTGGTGACTGCCCACCTAAGGAAAGAGGTCATCACCATATTCCCATACCTCAACTACCTGCTAAAAGGCCCCATGGTGCGTGACACTGAGCAGGCAGTAGCAACCACCAGAACATTGTTTGATATGGGGCCTATAAATAAATCTAGCAAAGTGTGTGTTCATTCCTCTCAGATTATAGCACTCTGAGTACATTTGGAGTGCAGGAAAGCAATAGCATTACTACCAGAGCACAGGTTCTCAACTATTAGGGACCTGGTATCCCTGGCATAGACCAGCTCCTGTATAATGGCACATCATTGCCTACAACTATTGGGATATATGGCCGCAGCCACGTTTGTGGTGCCATATGCCCAGTTGCACATAGAACCACTGAAGGCCTGGCTAAGGATGGTGTACATGCTGTTCATATGCCATATAAACAAATTCTTGACCATACCAAGCAAAATAAAATCTATACTCCTGTGGTAGACACTATACCACAACATGTGAAGGGGGGGCATCACTTTTCAGCAATTATCTGCAACACTGACAGTCACAACAGATGCTTTGCTAACAGGCAGGGCAAACACATTGTTTAAGCCCAATGGGAAAAGGAGGTGGCTAACAACCATATTAATTTGCCCAATTTCAGGGAAGTCTGCAGTGCGTGCACCCATTTTCTACTGCTGATCCAGAACAAAACAGTACAAACACTAATGGACAATGTCACAATGATGTATTACATCAATCAACAAGGGAGAGCTCGATCTTACCAATGCTGTTGGGAAGTGGTACAACTGTGAGAATGGTGCATCCCGAGAAATGTAACCCTGATCACGACTTACCTTCCATTCAAAGACAACATCCTGACAGCCTCAGCAGAAACTTCTCACAGAAGCATGTGTGAGATCAACCCAACCATACTGAACCACTGTGAACATTCTATTCCAGAAGTGGGGATTCCCACTGGTGGACCTGTTTGCCACCCACAAAAACAAAAAATGCCTGTATTACTGCTCCAGAGTGGGCATAAGCCCCCATTTCTTGAGGGATGCATTCAAAATAAAATGGGAAGCACCCCATCTATACGCCTTCCCACCTTTTCCACTCATCCAGTGCACCATTCTGAAGATCAAGCAGGACAGAGCCAAAGTCATATTCAGAACCTCGAGTTGGCCCAGACAGACTTGGTATCCTTACCTGGTGCAGATGAGTGCATGCCCACCATACTGTCTCCTTCCAGTCCGATCCCTGCTCACATACCACAGAACAGGCAGATGCACCATGCAGCTGTCCACACTCCATCTCCACATGTGGATGGTAATTAGTTGACTCCAATAGAAACAGAGTACTCTGAGGAAGTGCAGCAAATCCTTGTCAAGTGCTGCAGGCCTGCAACCAGAAAAACATAAGCAAAAATGGCTTCACAGTTTGGTGTTCAAAGCAGAACTGCACTCCCATAGATATGAGGGTTTCACATGTATTTACTTATCTGCTACACCTACATTAAACAAGATTGTCACTAAGGCCTATTAAAGGACACCTCGCTGCTATAGTGGTTCGACATCCTCTAGTGCAGGGTTATTCTGTCTTTACTCACCTGTCTGTCGAGGTTCCTCCGGCACCTACACAATATGCTCCCAACACAGAGACCCAATTCCAGTATGGGACCTTAACCTGGTGCTCAGGGCACTGATAGACAAGCCCTTTGAACCATGGGCTACCTGTTCCCTTCTACATCTATTGATGAAGGCCGTCTTCTTAGTTGCAATTACCTCTGCAAAAAGAGTGGGCGAGCTAGGAGCACTAATGACAGATCCTCCGCATACAATATTTCATAAGGACCTCGTACTCACCCTAAATATCTCCCAAAAGTATTTCTCATTCCACTGTAACGAACCCATTTTCTTGCCTGCCCACCATACTGTCTCCTTCCCGAAATCCCACAAGGACCATAGAAAAAGAGCGTTACACACTCTCAACATCCACAGGGCAGTCGCTTTCTACTCACAACACATGGAACCCTTTTGCAAAACTCCATGACTCTTTGTATCATCTAGAAAGAGGTCAAAGGGTTACTCATATTCAAACAAAGACTGTCTAAATGGATCTCAGGCTGCATACACGATATTCCAAAAGGAGCCCCTATCGACCATATGGGTTCACTCCACGAGAACAATGGCAGCATCAACAGCATTCCTCTGGGGCATACCAACAGAAGAAATCTGCAAAGCTGCCACATGGGGCTCAGCATACACTTTCATGCAACACTACACCATCCAGTCATTTGCAGATGCTAATATGCATTTTGGCTGAGTGATACTTGCAGTTACTGAGTCAAATTCACCGAAGTGCCCATCACCGAGTATGAATACTGTTTCATAATCACCTCAAGGTGGAGTACCCACAGGGACACTCCTCGAAGAAGGGAAGGTTACTCACCTGGTGCAGTAACAGGAGTTCTTCGAGATGGTTGTCCCCATAGGTGCTCCATCACCCACCCTCCTCCCCTCTCTTTCAGCTCCAAGTCAGAGAAGGAACCGAGGGGGCAGTTGGCTATGCACACGGGGTAGCTGTTTCAAACATTGCACGCCAACATTCCATGTGCACAGCTGACACGGGACAGCCATCTCGAAGAAGTCCAATTACTGCACCAGGTGAGTAATCTTCCCTTTTAGGTTTCATGGTTCCTGTCTTCCAGCAACTGTTTTTTCCTGGGACATGCCTGATTCACCTGGTT